TGATAACAAAAGAAAATTATTCTTATCAAAAAAAAAAAGGAACTTCTGGAAAAAGTTTGAAAGATTTTTTTATTAAATTTGATCAGAAATAAAATGATAATAATATGATTGATAAGAAATGAGTAGAATAAATTTGTGTTTATTACAGAAAATAAATTTTGAAATAATTTAATAAGAAATGAATAATTAATTAATTGATAACCAAAAAATACGAAATAATATTGGAAAATTATAAAAGTTAAAATTTAAGTAATTTCTTATTTTTAATTTTTTACCAAAATAAAAAAGTAAAAATAAAAATAAAATTATCAAATGATTAAGAATAATTTATTTCTTAGTGAAAATTTTAATTAAAATTTAAATGAGAATGAAGAAGAGAATAATTTAGTATTTTATTACAATAATTATCAGGTATAAAGTCATTAATAAAATGAATAATGATTTAAAAAAAAATAATTTAAATTTCAAAAGAAGAAGATGAGCCAAGAATAGTCTTTGACCTTTAGCATTCAATTATACAATATTTCCGAATATAACCGAAATAGGAACATAAATTTATGGATGAACACATTGCTGTTAAATTAATGGTATTCCGGAATGCAATTAGCAATAGAGAAATATCGCCATTAAATGTACTATTCCGGAATACGGTTTATATAGGTAACAAATTATAATGTTCCAGAATATGTCTACATAGCTAACAAATTGTAATATTCCGGAATGCGTCTACATAGCTAACAAGTTATAATATTCCGGAATGCAGTCTATATAGCTACCAAATTATAATATTCCAGAATATGGTCTGTATAGGTAACAAATTATAATGTTCCAGAATATGTCTACATAGCTAACAAATTATAATATTGCGAAATGCAATCTATATAGCTAACAAAGTATGATATTCCGGAATGCGTCTACAGCTAACAAAAGTTATAATATTCCGGAATGCAGTCTATATAGCTACCAAATTATAGTATTCCGGAATGCAATCCATATAATCGATGAATTATAATAAATTATAATTGATATAAGAAATTATAAAATTTCCATTTAGTCATGAAACTAAATAAAAGAAAAAAAAATGAATTTTTTAGAATGAAAAATCTTACATAATTTAAAAAATTCGCATTAATTTCGTTTTATAAATTACTTACAAATAGTTAATTAATAATTAATTAATATATAAAATTATATAATTTTATTATAACTTATATAAATTGTTAACTTTTTTGAAATTATCACATAATTATAACAAGAAAAAAAAAGAAATGAAAGAAATAAAATGAAGCAAATAAAAGTTTAATTGTTGATTTAATAATAACTTATATTCGTAAGATGGAATAATCAAGAAAAGTAAGATAATAAAGTATTATCAATTTTTAGATCACAATATTCTACTTTACTTTTTGCTCTCTCAAAGTTAATGCAATTACTTTTTTTTTTTCTGATTACTTGTGATCATAATGATCGTTAATTAATGATTACATCAAAATAGCATTCAATTATTTCTAGTAAATATTTTATCAGTAGTCTTATCAGTAGCTGATAAAATTATCAATGATTGATTGATTAATTTAGCTGATAAAATTATCAATGATTGATTGATTAATTTGTTTCTTCGAATATTTGTTAAATAATTATCATTTTTTTTCCTTATTAATACAAATTATTTATTATTGTATGCTTAAAAAGTAATATTTTTATCAATTAAATCATAGATTTGCCAAAAAAAAAGAAAATTCTAAAACTTTAATTTTGAATAAATGTAAAAAAATAAAAAAGTAAAAAACAAAATTTTTAAATTTTTTTTTAGTTATAATTGAAAAAAAAAAGTTTTGACAAAATTGTTTATCCAAATTTTTAAGTTAATTCAGAAAATTAAAAGAAAATTTTATGATAGAAATAACATTATGATAAAGAGTTGAAATTTTTTCATACTAAATTATTAAAATGAAAAGATTAGATCGAAACATAGAAAACTGTTGCAATGCTAATTTGCGCCCTTATCTAAAGTAATAAATGACAACGACTGTTATCAGTTATCAATGGTAATTTGCGCCAATATCTAAAGAAATGACAAAGACTGTTACAATGGTTTTTGTGCCAATATCTAAAGTAAGAAATAGTAATGACTGTTGCAATGGTAATTTGCGCCAATATATAAAGTAAGAAATAGTAGTGACTGTTGCAATGGTAATTTGCGCCAATATATAAAGTAAAGAATGATAAAGACTGCTACAATGGTTATTTGTGCCAGCATCTAAAGAAATGATAAAAAGTGTTACAATGGTTATTTGCGCCAGTATCTAAAAAACGATAAAAAGTGTTACAATGGTAATTTGCGCCAGTATCTAAAGAAAAGTGTTACAATGGTAATTTGCGCCAATATCTAAAGTAAAGAATGATAAAGACTGCTACAATGGTTATTTGTGCTACTATCTAAAGAAATGATAAAAAGTGTTACAATGGTTATTTGCGCCAGTATCTAAAAACGATAAAAAGTGTTACAATGGTAATTTGCGCCAGTATCTAAAGAAAAGTGTTACAATGGTAATTTGCGCCAATATCTAAAGTAAAGAATGATAAAGACTGCTACAATGGTTATTTGTGCTACTATCTAAAGAAATGATAAAAAGTGTTACAATGGCTATTTGCGCCAGTATCTAAAAAAATGATAAAAAGTGTTACAATGGTAATTTGCGCCAATATCTAAAGAAAAGTGTTACAATGGTAATTTGCGCCAATATCTAAAGTAAAGAATGATAAAGACTGCTACAATGGTTATTTGCGCCAGTATCTAAAAAAATGATAAAAAGTGTTACAATGGTTATTTGCGCCAGTATCTAAAGAAATGATAAAAAGTGTTACAATGGTAATTTGCGCCAATATCTAAAGAAAAGTGTTACAATGGTAATTTGCGCCAATATCTAAAGTAAAGAATGATAAAGACTGCTACAATGGTTATTTGCGCCAGTATCTAAAAAAAATGATAAAGACTGCTACAATGGTTATTTGTGCTACTATCTAAAGAAATGATAAAAAGTGTTACAATGGTTATTTGCGCCAGTATCTAAAAAAATGATAAAAAGTGTTACAATGGTAATTTGCGCCAATATCTAAAGTAAGAAATGGTAAAGATAGATGGAAGAGAATAAGCTATCAGTTTGAGGCAGCTGTTTCATTCATTACAAACAAACGTTTTGCGCCCATTCGCTACTTCCAAAGACTTTGCAATTGCGATAAAATGATATATTGTATGATGGCTTTTTGCTATGGTTCACTTTATTTTATTTCTCTTTGAAGTGACCGTCATCTATTGGCTAAATTTATTCCATTCAATCTAAACTTTATTCAACTTTCATCCATTTAACTTATTTATTCAATAATTGTTATTCTTATTTTTGTATTTTTCATTTTTTTTTTTTTTTGGTAAATAATACTTAAATAATTTGTTAGAAAAATTTTAATTGAAAAAAAAATTTTTTATACATTATTATATTTATTATTTTTTCTAATCTATGTAAACTTTCAACTTTTTCAAAACATTTTGATTTGAAATTTAAAAATTTCAAATTAATTTTTGATTGAGAATTTTTCAGCTTTTTTTTTTAATTCAAATTAGATTATTCAATCTTGAATGAATTTAAAAAAAAAATAAAGAATGAATTAATAGAATTATATTAATTTATTGTATTACAATTAATAATTTTAATAAAATGAAATGATTACACAATATGAAATTAAACTAATTGCATTGTTTGAAAGTAAATTTGATTTTAAAAAATAATTCAAAAGAAATTAAAATGAATTTTTTTATCTCTTTGCTTTGGTTTTTTTTTAAACCATGGAATTTTCTATTCATTTACTTTAATTAGCAACATCCAATTAAGTATGACTAATCGGATGAGACAGCTATTAGATATTCAAATATCAAATTTAATAATGTTTCTCGAAATTAGCTTAAAAAGTATTTTTAGTAAAATCCTAAAAAAGCTATAAGAATAAATATTATTAAATTTTTTGAAATAAAAAATATTTAAAAATTGACAAAACAATTTCAATTAACATGTAAACATTAACAATAATTGGTGAATTTCTCTTAAAAATTGATCAATTAATGATCCAAAAATTCGTCTTATTTCATTGGTTCAAATTTAAATTTGCATTTTCAAGTTGCTTTTTTAAAACTTTTTTGTTTTCAAAATCAATTTTTTTGCTACAAAATCATCCAAATTAATTATAAATTACTATAATAATTATCGAAATAAATAACAAAAACATAAATTAGAATTCTAACTTGAAATATTCAATCATTTGACAATAAAAACTAATTGAAAAAATGTAAATCGATTGTCTAAATTAAAAATTTTAAATATTTTATTCAAATCTTTTTTTTAGCCGACAAAAAAAAAAACAACAAATTTGCTTTCTTGATACTATGAACAATGTTAATTATACCATTCCGTACGAAATGAAATTCCGGAATTGTAATGAGATATCCGGTTGTGAAAGCATTTTGTTGCAAATGCTTTCATTAATGATGCAAGAACAGAATGAGCAATTTGTAAAATAATCCAAACAAAGCACATCGACTTCTAATCGTAAACAATTTCAACTAATATTCTAATATTAATCAATGAAAGCATAAAATGAAAATTATTTCATAAATATAAATTCAAATTTCATTGCTTATTGTAATTTTACTAAAATTAAAAAAGAAAAAAAAGAGAGAGAAAATGAAACAAATTTTTTGCAAATGATTTGAAATTTTTTAAATAAACAATAAAAAAAAAATTCACAAACAATAAACTTAAATATTTTGCTAAAATGCTAAAATGGAAATGCTAAACAGTTAAAAGAAAATAAATTTAAATGATAGAAAAATAAAATAAAATAAAATATATATTTTTATTGTATTTTGTTATTTATGACAAAATTTTAGCAATTCATTGATGCATTTGAATGAATAAATTCTCGCATAGATGCAAAATTCGTTTCTTTCATCCTTTATGAATTTTCTAAATTTAAAATTACATTGAATGATTGTTTATTTTATTTTTATTTTTATTTCTTTTTTTCACATATAATAAAGATTATCGGTTAACTCAGTGATTTTTGATCATAAAATTTTGTTTTTGTCTTTTTTTTTCATCGTTTTTTGATCATTATGAATTATTTTTTAAAATGTTTATTTAAATTAATAATAGTAATTAAAATAAAAATTACTAAAAAACTTTTAATTTATGCAAATTTAAATTTTTAAATTAAAATATATAAAAATAAATTAAAAAATATTTTTTTTCGATTTATACAATAAAAAAAGAAATTTTCACTTTTAATAATTGATGAGTACAACGAATACTTCTTAATAATATTAATTGCATTTGCTAAAATGCATAAGCAATTTGCAACTTAGTAAGATTTTTGCGCAACAGCGATGAAATTTAGTAAGACTTTTGCGCAACAAAAATATTTCATTACCGTATATTTGCTTTTTTCAGTCGATTTTTTCAGTTTAGACTTTCCGGAATGTATAGATTTGCTCGTTGAACTTACTGGTTTCTCTTCGGTAAGCGTAGTTTTGGCTAATTCTTGTAAAGCTAATATTCTGAAATTCATTGATCATTTTAAAATTTCCATCAACAACAAAATGGCTTAACTTATAGCTAACAAAAAAAAAAAAAAAAAAAAAACTTATCGATTAGTGAAAAGTATTTTAAAAAAGCAAAATTAAAAATTATTATTTTGTTATTTGCTAGAGCTGTACGAAAATGAATGAAATGGAAAAGTTAAATTTTAATTATTTATAAAATTTAAAATTATTTTCATTCATATTTACATATTTTGTTTTTTTACCGTCGATATTTCAAAGTGATCATTTGTGTACGTATGGAATGCATTAATTGCATTGATTTGTTTGCTGAATCAATTTGAAATTGTCTTACTTTTTCTTCATCTTGTACAAATCGATCTAAATTTAATTAAAATTTATAATATACAAATTTAGATACAAAATTTTTTATATTTTTGTTATGATATGATAAAAATTTAAAAAACTCTTCGTGTTTTTGTTTTTGTTTTTTTAAAATTGTTTATTTGAATTGATAACAATTAAAATTAATATCAATGCTTTTATTAATTTCTAAAAAACGCTTCAACTTTCTCGTTTTAATTCTAAAAAAAATTTTCAATGTTGAGATGAAAGAACATTTAAATGCATTCTTATTAATGCCAATGTTTCATTTAAATTTATTTTTAAATAAATCTTTATTTTCATTTATTATTTTCATATTTTTAAATAATTTTTTATTTTCATTTATTTAAATTTATTTTTTCTTATTAATAAATATGCCAATGTTTCATTTAAATTTATTTTTAAATAAATCTTTATTTTCATTTATTATTTTTATATTTTTAAATAATTTTACACTTTTATTTATTTAAATTTATTTTTAAATAATTCATTTAAAAATGAAAAGCATACAAAAGATTATAGCAACAGATGCAAAAAATGCAATTAATCCAAGCCAATAAATAATAAATGAAATTGTCATCGTTGTTTGAAGTTTTGTTTGAAAGCCAAGCGATTTCAATAAATTACTAGCATATGCGGTACTCAGCAATGATAATACTATCAGACATATTTTATCCATTATCATTCTAAATATTTGTTTAATTTAAATGAATAATAATTTTACTCAAAATTTTGTTAAAATTATTTTTTAATTTTTTCCTTTTTTTTTTGCTCATAAAATAAATTATTTATTATAAACCAACTTTACAAAATGACTGCAAAACAATATTAATATAATTTAAGAATGATTTACTTAAATTTATTCAAAGAAGAAAATTTCATTTGCATATTTGTAATGAGAGTAATTTTTAAAATTTTCAACATGAAAATTAGAGTTAATCAATAATTGTAGAAGTTATATCATAAATCAATCAATGACCTTTCTTTTGACCTATTTATACGCATGCGTAATTCTTGTAATGATTACATCATATTATCTTTTATATTATCATCTTTTCATTTTAACTGTTCAATTCTCTTACAAATGGATCTAATATTTTTAATTAATTAATTAATTAAATAATTTAACAATGTTTATATCATTGTGAATTAACCGATTACTGTTAGCATTAATTCAATTTGAGTTTAACAATGAAGTCAATAGCCATTTTTAGATGAATTGGAGTAGAAAGAGGCGACAAGTATAAGAAGGAAAGCAATCGGTAATTGATGGGATCGACTCACGGCGGAATGGGTCGTTCCGATGACTCTTATGACGGCGGAATGGATCGTCCTGCTGACTCTTATGACAGCGGAATGCATCGTTCTGCTGACTCTTATGAGAGTTGAATGCGTAGTTCTATTGACTCTTATGACAGCGGAATGCATCGTTCTGCTGACTCTTATGAGAGCTGAATGCGTAGTTCTATTGACTCTTATGACAGCGGAATGAATCGTCCTGCTGATCTTATTACTGAACGGAATGAATCGTCCTGCTGACTCTTATTACTGAACGGAATGGATCGTTCCGCTGACTCTAAGATAGACGAGTAGAAGCACTAACACAATCTATCTATCTCGGTTTATTAGCGCTGAACTTTTAATCAGTTCTGAACTCTAATGAAAATAATATCATTATTCTATTCTATATTGAATTGATTTTAAAATTCCCAAAATTTTCAGAGAAAAAAAATATGAAAGAAATGAAAAAAACGAAAATTATATTTGCAACAAAAATGTTTCAATACTTACACAATTCTCTCTTAACTATGATTAAGAGAAAATTTTTAATTTTCTAAAATTTTTAATTTGAATAATGAAAAAAAGGTATATAATATTTATTTGATAAGTCATTGCAATTATATATCATTAACATAATCAAGTTCAAATTTTAAATTTTGAATATAATTATAAAATGCACAATGTAATACAAAATTGCTAATTAGATAAAACCATATACTCTGATAAAAAAATTATCATTTTCAGACGATAATTGTGCAAATTAATCATTTCAAATCAATTCTTTCTAGCATTTAATTATTCTAATACAAGTCCATTAAAAAATTTTAAAATTTAGCTTAACATCAGAAAAAAAAAAATTGTTCACATCAAATTGTATGAATATGTGGAATTGAAAAGTAAACCAAATAATGGTCTAACAAATAATTTACAATTTAAATTGACCTATTAGTATCCACTGCAAATAGGAAGTGCTAATTCAATAAACTAATTCAAAATTACTACAAATTTATGAAAGTACTAAATTTCAAATAAATGAAAATGAAATTGATCCAGAAGAAGTATTTATTAGATTTTTAAGTGTTATCAAAATAAACTTTTTTTTTTTTCACTTAAGATACTATCAATATTTTTCGATAATAATTTTAAGATCACAGATTATCATAAATCATTTCAATCAATATTTCTCAAATATGATTTCATTAAATTAATTCAATCTTTTTCAATTGTTACTTAAACAATATTATCATAGAATTCAGAGTTCTATCGAATCCAATTATACTAATTAAAAGGAAAATATTAATTAGTCTTCACTTGCTACTATTTTATAATAATATTCTAGCAATTAAATCCATTAAATCAAAACAATTTGAATTATTACTTTGTCGATGTCGAATATTTGTTGGCAAAGATATCATACAGATCGTACGTGGAATACGTATCAAAAGTGAAAATGACATAGCTGAAGTAGGTTGACAAATGATTTTAGAAGTGTCAACCTTTTAAGAATTTGAGACTAATATTTGGTGTCAAATTGACTTAATTTAGAATTTTTCAGAAGTGTCACCTTTTTAACAGTTCGAGACTAATTCTAATTTCAAATTGACTTAATTTAAAATTATCCAGACGTATCACCGTTTTAAGAATTTGAAGCTAATATTTAATTTCAAATTGACTTAATTTAAAGTTATCCAGACGTGTCATCTTTTTAACAATTCGAGACTAATTCTAATTTCAAATTGACTTAATTTAAAGTTATCCAGACGTGTCATCTTTTTAACAATTCGAGACTAATTCTAATTTCAAATTGACTTAATTTAAAATTATCCAGACGTATCACCGTTTTAAGAATTTGAAACTAATATTTAATGTCAAATTGACTTAATTTAGAATTATCCAAATGTGGTACTTTATATTTTATAACCTTAAATACTTTTTATTTGTATGGATCTGATCTAACTGAAATTTAAATGGTTTGAATGTATCATTTCAAATCAATATGATCACTGTAATGCAAAAATTTGATATCGAATTTGATTCAGTTTAATACTGAAATTGAACTTCTTTTTAAGGAGAGGCAATTTACTGCAGAAGAATCATACAAATTCTTATCTAAGCAAAAGCTTGAAAAAAATTTAAATAGGTTTAGTTTATTTAAAAAAATTTAAATAGTTTAATTTAAATAGCTTCTATGTTGATTAATTAGTATCATTACATTTTAGCATTATTTAAATTTTGATCAGTACTAGTTGGAAGTAACTTTAATTAGAAAAATATTGTGGATGTTTTGATTATTTCAATTTTTTATTCTTAAAATAATTGATATAATATATGTATGTGTTAAGAATTGAAATAATTAAATATCAAAATTAAGTCAGCAACAAATAAAAAATTTAAATTATAGATAATTTAAAATTTATTATAATGAAAATTTGAACTTTATAAAATTATCAAATTATTAATTATAATCATTTGAGAGAATCAAAAGAAGCCATTTATTCAAATATTATCTGAATCTCAAACTGAGAACAGCTTTTCTAATAATCAAGAACAGGTAAATATAATATGGCTTAGATTTTACGTAATATTCGAATTCATTTTATGCACACGTAATTGACGCAACTAACGTTTGAACACGCAATAGCAATAAAATTTGTTTAATTGTATTCATTAGTTATTAACAATTTATTATTTTATTTTTATTAATTAAATAAAATTTCATACGATTTTAATGAAATCTACAATTCTACAATGGTAAATGAAATTATTTTATTAAAAACAATTTCAGATATTCACTCTGTAATTTGATAAAAAGATTAGAAAAATTTCTGGTAAAGTTATTTATGAATTGATGAATGTTTTTTAAACAATTTTAAACTTTAACTGATTAATTATCAATTTTAATTAATTATTTTTCATTTAATTATATGATTAAATTAATATTTCTGTTTACCACTCTTAATTATTTTGCTGATAAGAATGAATGATAATGATTAATGAAAGTTAAAATTTATACTTTTCCTTAAATTTCATTTAATTAAATTCTCTTTTTGGAAAAAGATTTCATTGATGTAGGACCATTACTAGTGGATATAGTAACAACCACAAGAAACTTTCAAAATTTATGGCCAAAAAAAAGAAAAAAATTAATGAGCAACAAATATTGGCCAAACTAATTTTAATTTCAAAAAATTCACAAAAAGTATAATTTTCATTTAATTTTTTTATTTTCACAAAAAAAAGAACAAAGAGAGAAAATGAGCAAAAATCGATATTTTATTTAAATAATTTTTTAATTAGTATACTGAAAGATTTAATTATACAAGATTTTTTTTTCTTAATTTAAATTTTATTAATGATAAATAAATAAGTATGCTAATTGCAATTATTATTAAAAAATATAATCTAAAAAAATTCTTTTTTTTTGATTTTTATTTGATTTAAAATTAAATTATTTTCTGAAATAAACAGTATGAAATTTTTACAGATTAAATTTACAGTATGAAATTTTTTCAAAAAAAAAGTTTAAAAATTTTTTTTTTAGAAGTTTAAAATTTTTTAGAAAAAAAGATGAATTACAATGATTTTAATAATATTACATTTTTCAAAAATAAAAGTAAATAACTTCTTCAAGTTTCATAAAATTTTCAAAATTTTTTTTTCATTTATTATTTAAAAATTATTTTTTTCTAAATTATATTTTAAAAGAAAAATTTTCCAATAAATTTTCTATAATTTAATTTTAAAATTTAGATAAATAGATGAACTTATATTGCATATTTATTTCAGTAAATTTTAATAATAAACAAATGTTACAACAGCCATCGAAAAAATTAATAACAAAAAATTCTCAAAGGTATGCTTTAATTAATATCAATATTAAATTAAATTAATATTAAATATTAAAACAGCAAATTCGATTTGCACCTCAGAAGCAAATTTGATTTAATTAAGATGTATGAATACAAAAAATAAGGTTTCAAATTAATTAAAACAAAAAAAAAAAACGAAATGATCTATGATCATTTAAGTAAATGATAAAAAATAATTTATGATAAAGTATATAATTGTGAGATAACATACATTCATCTTATAATATTTTAAATTTATTATTTGAAATATTTTTTTTCCCAAAATTTGTATTTGTTAATAATTTAAAAAAAATACATATTCATTATGATCAATTGAATTTAATAGAAATTATTCTTTAGTATGTTTAAACTATTTCCTGAAATTAATTAAATTAGTAAATAATTAAGAAAGAAAGTCTTATTATTTGTTTTATTTCAAATTATTAATTAACTTATTGTTAAACTTTTATTATAACTTTTTTTTTTTGAAAGAAAATATATGAATATTAGATATAATTCAACAGATTATCTTATATTCTTTATTAAGTTATACTTTTAAAATTGCAGAAATTACAAGTAAATTCTTGTCAAATATCAAAATCATCAATGCAAACAAAATTCCATTTGCAAATATTGGAGAAAATATTTATAGGATACAATGTTGTACGTGTAATACGTGATACTCATATTACTATTTCTACGTTTCTCGTACGTTTTAAACTTTTTTTTTCAATTATCAAAATAATATAAAAATCGATGAAAGAATAAGTAAATAAATGCTATTATTTGTTTGTTAATTTTATCGATTTGTTAAAATTTCATCCATTGCAGACAAAAAGTTTTGAAATGATTGAAATATTGTAAATAACAATTTCA